GGCAAAGCAATTAACTGAGGGGCAGTGAGGCATCCACATGTCTAACTACAGGTTGTGTGCTACCACTTCCTCAGGAGCCATTAAATGTTTGCTGCTGAAAAGCTGGAAGCAGTTAAAATTAATAGGCAACGATCAGAGGCACCAGACAGATGTTCAGCTCTGGAACAGGTCAGGAAATAGGAAGGTAACCCTTAGCACTGCCTTCCTTCCCTCTAATCTGTCTGATCTTGTGGGCTATCCCCAAGACACACAGAGGGAAGGGTACACACACCTCCCTGGGATGTTCCAGCAGATTAGACCTCAGACAGCTCCCAGAGCTCCCAAGAACCACACAGCCAAATCCAGATAACTGGATTAACTCTGGCTCCTCCGTGCTACACTCCTGATACACACCCAGGAGCCTCTGCTAATACCAACGATCCTCTTTTACTTGGTCAAGAGCGCCTTAGCATCAGATGCTGCTCCAGTCCTACAGCTGTCTCAGCAGATACTACATTTTTCCACCTTATTGCCAAACCTGGGCAGAATAAGCCTTACCCTGCCACAGGGTTATTTTCCACAACACTCACCTGTTTCACCCTCTCCCTGGCCTGTATGATTTTCTTTTTCAGCCACTTGCAGCGAGCAGTGACGATGGCCGTGTGCCCTCGGACTCGCTCCTCCTTCTGCAGAGGCAAAGGCAGAGCACACTAAACTTTCATCCCCAAATCACATGGTGCTGGCAGATGACAGAAGGTGCAGAACCCCAGGTTACAACACATTTAAAGTCAGAATCAAAGGCAGCCTTGGATCTGCTCTGCAGGTACAGATGAAATTCAACACCTGTTCCCCAAAAGGCCAACAGCAAACACTGTTTGGGAAGAGTCACTGGGTGGAAGCTGTTGTGTAGGTTCGGTGTCACAGACATTCCTTCTTATCCTTGCATCTGATTTTTGGTTTAATTTTCCCTGTTCAAAAAAACAGACTTTTTTTTGCTATTGTTCTTTATAATCTACTTCACCTGTTGTTGAGGATCTGTTGTCTGAGCTCTGCAAAGCTTCCTCTACCTGGTATGTGGCAAGTTCAAACTCCTCATATTTTTCTTCTGAAAAATATGTTCTTTGAAAGATTTTTTAGTTGTTTTCCTTACTAGAATTATTCCCTGTGCTGCTTTTTCTCATTCTATTTTATTTCAGTAATTAAAAATGGCTCTTGAGATGACAATGTGTCTGCAAACCACCTCAGGAGGGAGTTGGGACAGCAGAGCACAGAGATCATTGGTGTTGTTTTCACTCTGCAACTCTATATAACATGGTCTGATAGATTTGGGTTATGCTTTAGTGACCCACAGATATTCTCAGTTTAGAAGTTGCTCTTCCTCTGCAGCTTTACAAATTCATCTGGATTAGTGTAACTGCCTGAACCAGGCAGACAGTCCAGCAGTGATGCTGCTCTGGAAGCTCCATTCCCAGGCTTTCTGCCACAATCATTGCACAGTTTGCTTCTTCCCAGCAAACACACTGCACACACAGTAACACCCCCACTGGCACCATCCCAATAAATTCTACTCACCTCTCCCAAAACAAACTCCAAGTCACTGAACTGTCTGTTTTCCCACAGCCTTCCATAGTCCTCATGGAGGGTGCATTTAGGGTAACAGGAAAACTGAAAAATAAAACCCCACAGAAGACAGAATTAATCAGTGGCTGTATAAATTTCACATCAGCCTGCAGAAGAGGAGCCTGAGGTCAGATCTCATCGGGATCTGCAGTTTCCTCATGAGGGGCAGCACTGACCTGTGCTCTCAGAGACCAGTGACAGGACCTGAGGGAATGGCTGGAGCTGTGTAAGGGACACTTAGGTTGGATATTAGGAGAAGGTTGTTCACCCAGAGGTGTTTGGGCACTGAACAGCTCTCCAAGGCAGTTGTCACAGCCCCAAGCCTCACAGAGCTCTACGAGTGTTTGGCCAATGCTCTCAGAAACAGGGTGCATTGTTGGGGTGTCTGTGCAGCTGGACTGGTGATCCTTGTGGGTCCCTTCCAGCTCAGGACATTCTGTGATTCTATTATTCCAGTTACATACACCATCACTGGATTTTCTTATTAACTTGGCCTCAATGTAGTATATAAAGCAGAATATAACCAAACACTGCAAGGCCTTCCCCCCTGGGGAGGGTAAGGGCAGAGAGCACAAGGTAACACGGAAGAACTGTACCTCACCACGACTCACAGACCTGAGGGTTTGGAGGCTGAGGGTCTAACCTGCCCTCAGGATGTGTCCAAGGGTCCCAGGCAATACAAACAAACTTGAGTGTAGTTGGGATTTGACCCTGTGTAAGTATCTTGAAATTGAAACTGTACACTTCCCATAGTTCCTGGGGGATGGGAGTGCTGCACAGAGATAAAACCCCAATACAAAAAAACTACTTTGAGCCCTGAACAGGGCAGAACATGGAGAAGAACATGTTTCCATGAAACAACCTGGCAAATCCTGTCTGCTCCACTTTCCAATGAACTGTCAAAGTAAGTAGTCATGACCTCTGTAGGACTTCAGAAAGCCCTGGAGGGTTTGGCCTTACCCAAATGTCTGTCCACATAACACTTCTCAGAAGATTTTAAAGACACACTGACCTCTGGCAGCTGAATCTGGCACAGAGGCTGCCTGCAGGAAGGACACGGGACAAAAGCCATAGAGCTTGTGTTGAGCCAAACCAGCAACTCCAGAGCCAGAAGGATTCACATGGAGTTGGTGTGGATGTGTGTTTCTCAGTGAATTACCTGGAACCTGTACATCTCTCCACTTCTGATGTTGTTGTCCACTGTGCCACCAAAGATGTACATAGCATCCGAGATAACAGCTGCGGCGTGGAAGAGTCTCCCACTGGGTAACTGGGGAAGGAAAACAGGGAATCAACAGAAAAACAGGCAAGGGAATAAATAAAAGCCTTTTTTTTTCTCCTAACAAAAACTAGAGAAAGAAGAGATTAGAAAGAAGAGAAGAGAAAAACCTGCAACAGATCAACAGTGAGAAGGGAAAATAGATATACTCTGAGGTCACACAACATTTGCATCCTGAGATTGACATTTATTAGGTTTCAGGACTGTTTCCTAGTGTCTCTAGAACATCCTTCCAGTCATATTTAAGAACATTCACTCACTGCACCCTCTAATCAGAATGGTACCTGCACAGGGCTCTATCATGGTAGCTACATAACAGATCATTGACAAAGTTGACTCAAGGTCAAGTTCCACATAAAAAATAAACCACACCTGTAGAAATGAGCAGATTCTGCAAATGTGATCACTGTGCAAACCCAGAGCTTACTCTGAATATTGTCAGGAACTTGAAAGGTAAATGGCCATCTCCCTCAGCAGGACTGAGCCCCAGGGCTGTGAGCACCTGCCTCCCCTCCCTTGCTGGGCTGAACCATCTGGCTAAGGCCCCAGCAATGCCCAGTTCCAGACAGGAGCCCAAGGCTGGAGCTGTTGGCAGAGTTGGCACCTTGGAGCCACAGCTCCTGTCTGCATCCTGCCAGCTCCACACAGAGCAAAGCCCCCACACTAGAGCTATTTATAGGGCTGGGGCATCACACCATCCATGCAGCACACGCCATCCTGGAGCTGCAGAATGGGCTGGTTTTTGAAGCAGAAAAGAGTCACTGCAAGCCAAAGCCATCATGACCCTCCTGCAGAGGACACACCACAGCATTCCTACCCATTTCTTCTGAGGTCACACAAGAGGTATGTGACCACATCAGCACATCTCACCGAGAGCTCTCAGGAAGGCTCCAGTGAGAGAAACTTCTTTTCCCCCCCTAGTCTGATCAGGCTTGTTTTATCCTCCAGGCAGTAAATCTCATTACATCTTTGCCTACAAACCCAAGAGCTCTCTGGTGTAAGAAATCTCTTCTTGTACATATTTATAGACACCACTCAAGTAAACTCAGACACGAAACAAGATTATGTTTATCTGGAGAGACAGCTTTTCCAGGAAACCATGCTGACTGGCAGTTCCCTCTCCCACCAACTCAGCCCTCTCACCACAGCAGCATACAACGGCCTCATTTAGCCTGTTACTCACCACACTTTCCATGACTTGTTCTTCTCCTCAGACTACAGCTTTTAAGGATACAACCCCAGCCAGTAACTAGGACCTGGGTGCTTCTCTCAGATGGACAAACCACAGACTTGCTCACCTTAAAAGCACATTTGCCTGTGCCAGTTTAACAAACCATCTGGATTTGCTCTGGATAAACAAGATACCTTCTGTCCCTGGCATATTTCATGGATACTTTATCCAAGAAACTTCAGAGCTGCTGCTAATGAACACTGTGATGGGAAGATTATGAAATAATATCGATCTATTAGTACATTCCTGCCTGGTCCCTGTTCATTCCCTCTCCAAAAGAGGATGAGATTACTGTCAAATGTCATCTATTTTCTGTGGCCTCTCATTCTTAGCAGTAATCTCATTAACTAAATAAGATGTACTGATTGAAATAATCAACCATATTACAGTGGGTTAAAAATACATCAGTTACTTTTATCAACTGGAGCTCCAACCTCATCCCAAAACATGAAGTTTGCTTGCCAAGCTCTATTTGCACACAGAGAGGCAGGCAGGGATTGGCTGCACTAAAGCATCTTTCTCACAGCTAACTGCAACCAAAACCAGCTAACTGCAACTCAAACAAAATAAAAGAGCTATCCTGTCAGAACTCTCATGCAGCTCACCTGATTCTCCCCCTGCACTCGGTGCTGGTGAGGCCACACCTTGAATCCTGTGCTCAGTTCTGGGCGACTCAGCTCAGGAGAGACATTGAGGTGCTGGAGCAGGTCCAGAGAAGAGCAACGAGGCTGGTGAAGGGACTCGAGCACAAGTGCCATGAGGAGAGGCTGAGGGAGCTGGGGGTGTTCAGCCTGGAGAAGAGGAGGCTCAGGGGAGACCTTAGCTCCCTCTGCACCTTCCTGACAGGAGGTTGTAGTCAGGTGGGGGTTGGTCTCTTCTCCCAGGCAACCCGCAGCAGGACAAGCGGGCACAGACTCAAGCTCTGCCAGGGGAGGTTTAGGTTGGAGATTAGGAAGAGATTTTTTACGGAGAGAGTGATCAGACATTGGAATGTGCTGCCCAGGGAGGTGGTGGATTCACCATCCCTGGAGGTTTTCAAAATGAGACTGGATGTGGCACTTGGTGCCATGGGCTAGTAACCACAGTAGGGCTGGACTTGATGATCCTGGAGATCTTTTCCAACCCGGCTGATTCTATGATTCTATGATCATGTTCAACTCCAACAACCTGTATGGAACACGAGAATGATGATCTTTCATTTGGTACTGGCCAAGGAACCAGAGCTTTGCACTGACTAATGACTTAAGTAATCAAACAACTCAACTTTCCAAATACACAGACCACATTTTTAAAGAAAGAAACGTAAGATATGGAAGGATAGCCCAGAACAAGGAAGGCCACATCCAGTTCATCAAAACATTGTGCAGCTGAGGGTTTCAGGGTGTTTGTTTTGCTGCCTCAGAAGAGCAGAATTCAGGCCAGCACAAACCCCACATGGAGATGACAACTGCAAGCAGTGACATTCCAATGCCACTCGCATGGGGAACACTTGGTCCTCCTAGGACCAAGGATTTGGCCAGAACTTTGCCCCAGTACAGACCAGGGGAGCAGCAGGTCCTCAGGAAAATATTCAGGGAACAAGGGTTAACAGAGATCAGGAGCACAAGCAGCTGGAGAGACACAAACAGCTGGAGAGACACAAACAGCTGGAGAGACATGCTGGTCCCCACATTTCTCATCCACCAGCACCAGACATCCAGAACCTGCCCTGGGAGACCTCCCAAGCTGCCAATCCAGCTGTGGAATACACTCCACCCAGGTAGAGTTTACAAGGAGCAGCTATGCAGCACTGTCTGTTCTGCTAGCCAGGATGGTCAGAAACGACAAGAGGAAATGATCTCAAGTTGCAGCACAGGACGTTCAGGTTGGATATTAGGAAACATTTTCTCATAGGAAGAGTTGTAGGCACTAGCACAGGGTGCTCGGGGCAGGGGTGGAGTCTTCATCCCTGGGAGTGTTCAAAAGCTATGTGGATGTGGCACTTGGGGACATGGTTAGTGGTGACCATGGCAGTGCAAGGGAACGGTTGGACTTGATGATCTTAAAGGTCTTTTCCAATCTGAATGTTTCCATAACTCTATGATTCCAAATTCATCTGCAACTCCAGACAGCCATGTGTGAATCCAAAGGGATTTGTCCTTCTCACTCCCAGTGCATAAAGGAATGCTAAAAATCACAGACTGAAGAGGCACTGTCAGTCTGGATGCGATTGTCAGCTTCAGATCCTATACTTACCTCTCCAGCAACGTGATGTCCTTACTTTATTAGCAGTGCCTGACAAAAGGAATTCTAGATCCAACCCTGACACCTCTGACATGGGGGCTGGCACCCCTCTCTGAGCTCCACTAACCTGCATCTGGTGGAGTGGTTTCTCCATTTAAGGTTAATGAGATTTGCATCTGAGGCTCTTTCCAAGCTGGAATCTTTGCTTTCAAAAGCAGATCTCATCAGTCACCTTTGCTTCCCTTTCAGCAGGCCCTTCCACACTGCTGGCATGACTCCAGGCAGCATTTTCAAAATGCAAGAATTTCACAAGTCTTGGGGTTGTTTTTTCTCCTTCCCTGGGCTCAGACTCCCCTGCAGTCTGTCTGTCCATGGTGTCTGTCCTGGGCTGCTCCTCAGGGTCCTGATTTGCCTCCCAAAGCTGTGCATTAGTGCTGCCTCTCCCTGTGCCAGAGCACCCAGCAATCAGGCAAACAGGTGAGATCACAGCCCCAAGCATCAGCTCTGGGGCTGAGCACACACACTTTGAAATAAACTCAGCTAAACCTGTGCAAAGCCCTCCATAAAGTCACTGATTCAAGCTCTGACCTCGCCAGGAATACATTCAGCTGCGTTTGAAGTCCATAAAATAAGTTGGATCAATGTAAAAGTAAAATTAAATAATTAAAAAAGCAAAATGAATCGTTTCCACTTGGGGGTCAATACCAGTCTGCTCCAGGCAATTTAGAACTCCTGTGTGCAGTCAAGGCTTAAATGGTTCTTGGATTACCATTTCAGCTGAAACAGCTCAAGAAAATTTCAAGGAGAAAAAAAGCAGAGGAAAAAAGGCATGTACAAGGCTGGAATTTCTTTCTCTCCTGGAATAAATTTAATTTGCATTTTTGAACTCTTTTTGACTTCCAAGCGTTGCTTTATTCATCTCTGAGACTGCTGTAGGTGCTTGTTTAACTGTTGTTATGCCAAAATCTAACCCAAATACATCCTGAGGTGTTTTTAAACCCTGTTCTCCTGAAGGCAAGGAGGGAGCAGACACAATCTCAGCTGCTGCTGGGCAGGACACCTGGTTACAAGATTTAAAACCAACAGTGTGCAAATGGCTAGGGGGAGGCATGAGAAACTCACTGGAGCAGGAGTCCCTGCGGCTGAAGCTCCAGAGGATTGTGCCCATGTATCCAGAACAGTCCAGAGGAAGCTCTGAGGCCTTGTCTAGAGCTCATCACTGTGACTGAACCACTAAACAAATTAGTTGTGTAGTTTTCTTATGGTTTTTTTTGCAATGACAGAGGCACACAGCAATAAAACCTTACACACTAATTGCTCCTTATCTGCCCTCTTCCTCCCACAGGTCTTCATGAATCACAGATTGGAAGATCTTTAAAGGTCATCCAGTCCCACTCCTGCCATGGACAGGGACACCTTCCACCAGCCCAGGTTGCTCCAAGCCCTGTCCAATCTGACCTGGAACACTCCCAGGGACGAGGAGCCAAGGAGTTGGCTCACCCCATGTTGGAAGAATGCAGATCAGAAGCAAAGCTGG